CCCGAGTGGCGATGTTTACTACACACCGAGGCTGAGTCGACCTCGGAGAGGCCCAGGACCGGTTCAGATATTCGTCACAGACGTGAGCGTGCGACGGCGACTCCGATATTGCGGAGCCCAGGCGCAGGGTCGCTCGAGAGGCAGGCGAGATGAGAGCTGGGACTGCAAGAACGAGGTGTGGGCCCTTTAAAGGTCGGCGTGCATTGAATCTTCGCCACTGCCGTGGCGAGACTGCCACGGAGAGAGGGCGCCGGGCAGTGGCCGTGGTTCTGTGCTCCCCGGTGTAGAAATGCCCGCACGCGCCTGCCGTGGCGTGGGAAGGGGTTTGAGGCGCTCGCCGCTCCCTCACCACCGGTGCCTTTCTTGGCCTGCCCGGCGCATCGTCGTTGGCCTCCTTGGCGATGAGGTGCAGGGGTAGCGTGGCGAGTGGGGGGGGGGGGCCTCTCCTCCTCGAAGCTCAAGACGCCCAAGAAGCGCACGGATGAAGAACGTACCCGCGTGGCTCTGCAATGCGCGTGCGGATTGGCATGGTGGCGACATGCGTTCACTGCCTCGCCTGGTGTGCAGGAGGTCGTGGGTTCGATCTCACCTGCTGCTGTATATTTGGAGTTTGCGCGCTCTCTCTCCCCGTGGTCAGGTGGATTTTTCTCCGGGTCCTCCGGTTTTTAGCCTTCACATTTAGAATCGACGTGCTATAAGTTTCCACATGATAAGCCACTTCGTTGTGCTATCATTGTTGGCCACGTCACTTCTGAAAATAACTGTATAGCTTAGTCTGCCTTACCTGGTAAAATAAATAAAAATTGTTTCGTTTAATAGTTTTGGTTTAGTGAACCTGAATCGTTTTAAAATTCGAGTTAAAAATGAACAATACACAAAGCTGTTATAGAAATTTAATGACATAAAACTTACAGCGAAATAGGCTGAAGCGACATCAGAGGAAAATTAGTAAACAAAAATTACTGAGATAGAACATCAACAAAAAACATCTTAATTCCCTTTATTTCAGAACGTTATAAAGTACACTTAGGCAACGGATGGCCGAACTACAAAGCATCATAGGAACTACCCATAACAACATGCGTACATACACAAGCACAGGCTCGTGGCCTAGCGGGTAGCCTACGTTGAGTGATGAAAAAGGATTATCACAGCCGTATGAACGCAACTCCTTGTCTATTAGACATCATCAGTGTGGTATAGCCCTGCTACACTACTGACACGATGGTGCATACGCGTGTTTATAAACAAAAGCCCTTTGTTGCGCTTTTCTGCAATGAAGTTCAACAAGTAACTTGTAACTTTGGTGACGAGGCCAAGCATTGTGATGGCTGTGCTCTTGAAAATGCAGCAGAGTCATGTCACCGGGTCACGTGTCACTAGGTCACGCGTCACTGAGAACACGTGTCACTGGGTCACGCCTCACTGGGTCACGCGTCACTGGGTCACGCATCACTGAGAACACGCGTCACTGGGTCACGCGTCACTGAAAACACGTGTCACTGGGTCACGCGTCACTGGGGGACATTTGCATCCAGAGGGAAATGCAGATGAGGTTAATCGCACACACAGTGCCAGAAAATCACCTTGTCCGCTCAATTGATTCCGAAGTTAACCACACACACAGGCTCAAAGTGCTGACAGAGTCTGAACGCGGAGCCAGGATTGCATGATCAACTATTTATCTAAAGCAGTGATTCTGAGCCTGTTGGGCGACCCTCCCTGGGTTGCGGCATGGATACCGTGCAGGATACATTTTGAACGTGCGCGGGGAACGCCAGTTCAGCGCTGCGGTGACGAAACACCCGAATACACAACGTGAAACGCATTCCTTACTAAAAAATACTAACACGCAACGTTAAACGCATGCCTTACTAACACAAAACACACCCATACACAACGTGAAACGCATGCCTTACTAACACAATACACACCAATGCACAACGTGAAACGCATGTCCTACTAAAACAATGCACATCAATACACAACGTGAAACGCATGCCATACTAACACAATACACACCAATACACAATGTGAAACGCATGCCTTACTAACACAATACACATCAATACACAATGTGAAACGCATGCCTTACTAACACTACACACCAATACACAATGTGAAACGCATGCCTGACTAACACAACACACCAATACACAATGTGAAACGCATGCCTTGCTAACACAATACACACCAATACAAAACGTGAACCACATGCTTTACTAACACAATACACACCAATACACAATGTGAAACGCATGCCTTACGAACACAATACACACTAATACACAATGTGAAACGCATGCCTTACGAACACAATACACACTAATACACAATGTGAAACGCATGCCCTACTAACACAAGACACACCAATACACAACATGAAACGCATACCTTACTAACACAATACACACCAATACACAACGTGAAACGCATGCCTTACTAACACAATACACACCAATACACAACGCGAAACGCATACCTTACTAACACAATACACACCAATACACAACGCGAAACGCATGCCTTACTAACACAAATACATAATGTGAAACGCATGCCCTACTAACACAAAACACACCAATACACAACGTGAAACGCATGCCTTACTAACACAAAACACACCAATACACAACGTGAAACACATGCCTTACTAACACAATACACACCAATACACAATGTGAAACGCATGCCTTACTAACACAAAAACACTAATACATAATGTGAAACGCATGCCCTACTAACACAAAACACACCAATACACAACGTGAAACGCAAACCTTACACAATACACACCAATACACAACGTGAAACGCATGCCTTACTAACACAAAACAAACCAATACACAACGCGAAACGCATACCTTACACAATACACACCAATACACAACGCGAAACGCATGTCTTACTAACACAATACACACAAATACACAACGCAAAACGCATACCTTACACAATACACACCAATACACAACGTGAAACGCATGCCTTACTAACACAATACACATCAATACACAATGTGAAACGCATGCCTTACTAACACAATACACACTAATACATAATGTGAAACGCATGCCCTACTAACACAATACACACTAATACATAATGTGAAACGCATGCCTTACTAACACAAAAACACTAATACATAATGTGAAACGCATGCCTTACTAACACAAAACACACCAATACACGACGCGAAACGCATACCTTACTAACGCAATACACACCAATACACAATGTGAAACGCATGCCTTACTAACACAAAACACACCAATACACAATGTGAAATGCATGCCTTACTAACGCAATACACACCAATACACAACGCGAAACGCATGCCTTACTAACACAAAACACACCAATACACAACGCGAAACGCATGCCTTACTAACACAATACACACCAACACACAACGCGAAACGCATACCTTACTAACACAATACACACCAATACACAACGCGAAACGCATGCCTTACTAACACAAAACACACCAATACACAACGCGAAACGCATGCCTTACTAACACAATACACACCAACACACAACGCGAAACGCATGCCTTACTAACACAAAACACACCAATACACAACGTGAAATGCATGCCTTACTAACACAATACACACCAATACACAACGCGAAACGCATGCCTTACTAACACAAAACACACCAATACACAACGCGAAACGCATGCCTTACTAACACAATACACACCAACACACAACGCGAAACGCATGCCTTACTAACACAATACACACCAACACACAACGCGAAACGCATACCTTACTAACACAAAACACACCAATACACAACGCGAAACGCATGCCTTACTAACACAATACACACCAATACACAACGTGAAACGTATCCCTTACTAACACAAAACACACCAACACACAACGCGAAACGCATGCCTTACTAACACAAAACACACCAATACACAACGCGAAACGCATGCCTTACTAACACAATACACACCAATACACAACGCGAAACGCATGCCTTACTAACACAATACACACCAATACACAACGTGAAACGCATGCCTTACTAACACAATACACACCAATACACAACGCGAAACGCATACCTTACTAACACAATACACACCAATACACAACGTGAAACGCATGCCTTACTAACACAATACACACCAATACACAACGCGAAACGCATGCCTTACTAACACAATACACACCAATACACAACGCGAAACGCATACCTTACTAACACAAAACACATCAATACACAATGTGAAACGCATGCCTTACTAACACAAAACACACCAATACACAACGCGAAACGCATGCCTTACTAACACAATACACACCAACACACAACGCGAAACGCATGCCTTACTAACACAAAACACACCAATACACAACGTGAAATGCATGCCTTACTAACACAATACACACCAATACACAACGCGAAACGCATGCCTTACTAACACAAAACACACTAATACACAACGTGAAACGCATACCTTACACAATACACACCAATACACAACGCGAAACGCATGCCCTACTAACACAAAACACACCAATACACAACGCGAAACGCATGCCGCACTAGCTAGAGACGTGGACACGCGATCTCTCTGTGTACTGCAGCCTTCGTAATCTCGGGGGCCACGTGGAACGGTGAAGGGGGGGGGCATACAAAACAGGTTGTGAGCACTGCTCCTGACCGTGCGACGACCCTCCGTGCGTGCCGACACCCCCGCACCTCCGATTAGCACGGTTGGCTACGTACGGTGCGGAAGAAGTTCAACGTACATACGTACGTGCATAACGGCATGCGCTGCGGCCAGAAGGGGCTCTCAGCTGTGGCCACGCTGGTGTCATCCCCGCGACGAAAAACATGTATTTGCGATCACAGCCCCCCCCTGATCTCAAACACTCTCGCACCCCGCTACGATCGGACGTGGAATCCCACAATCCGTCGCGCTTTGTTAATGTCAAATTTCTACTTTCTCTACCGCATCGTTTTCTCGTAGGTTTGTGTTCCATTAGCCGGTTACATTTGCAATATAAGTTACTGACGATTTGCATAACCCTTACAACAACAACAAACATTTTCACTTACACGATGTTATGCATGTGTCGCCAATGCACTGGATCGAGTTTGATCGATTACAAACTGTGCCTCCCAGCCACGTGTGGAACACAGTAAATGCATTTAAAACTCACGTACGCAACACTTGCACAATCCACACGAGGCTTCCTTTTCGACGTTTTCACTCGGCATGTAAAAAAAAACCACAATAAAATAGCTACGTGCAGAGACTCGACACTTGGAGAAACGTCTCTCAAATGTGGGTCCGAGCAAAAAATTTCCGCACAGCAGAGATGTGAAACAGGCGAACGAGAGTCGTGAATAATTAAACAAATGAAACATCAATGACAGCACCTAGCCTGTGCCCCAGGGCCGCCCAGAGATTCCCGGAGGCCACGTGGGGGGCTATCTTTATTTCGTCAGTGACAAAACAAACGGGCATGTTGGTGGGGCACCTCTTGTTGCGCGTGACCCGGGTCAAATCGCCGATTTTGCTTCCCCTACCCACCTCCGCCGCCTCTGGACGGCCCTGGCTGTCGTCCCTGAATGATCTGTAGTAGTCCAGCGAGAGCAGTGCGTATCGAACAGAGCTCCGGCTTTGGGCTGACCATCGAAGAAAGACGGTTGGCCGCGTCGCGCGGCCGTCTGGGACGCTCTTCCTTCCGATATTAGGAAGCCACTGGAGCCATGCACTTTTAAATCTAGGTTTAAAATGCATTTCTTTATAACTGATTTTTGTGTTTAGTTTGTTGTCCTTGCCCCACACCTCCAATTAGCACGGTTGGCTACGTGCGGTGCACAAAAAGTTCAAAATACGTGCATACATAGCCGATGTCCCCTTGAGAAACCATAACCCTAAAGATGTGGGAACCTTTAAAAAGCACAACTTTACGAAAGTCACCGCATAATGGACCAACTTTGAATTCCAGGGCACATGAAGAGTCCAGTCCAGGTTTTCCGCATTGCCCACGAGAGAGATCCGCCGAACGTGGCCCACCGAAGGAACAACAAAGGATGGGTCACAATTCCGCGGCTGCGCTTCGTTCTGAACGGTCCAAAACCGAACGAGCAAGATGCACGAAACAGCACGACTCGCTTACACAAGATGAACAAAAGCACAGGATCAACAGCAGCTATTCTCGATCTACTGCCGAACAGAGGCCTCTAAGGTTGATGCCAGCACTAACAGGGCTGGGCAGCTGCAATCCGATGTTGCTATTCGTAATCTCACCTAGGTAATTTGTCGGTAATATTGCAGCGTTGGGATGTTTGGCTAATGCCAGTTAGGTTGAATGTTTTTTTTTCGTTCTGTTAGCCGTGGGAGGAAGCTGAAGCATGCAAGAGAGGGGAAGAACGCACATGCTCCCGCTGCGCCACCTAACCTGCCGCCCTGCCACGTGATGCCACTGTGCTGCCCTGCTCCCTTCCCACGACGGTGAGTGGGACTCCTGACGAACCCAGGCGCTTGAAGGTGGGGGGGGGGGGCGATGGCTCAGATCCCTGACCATGGCCATCAGCCTCAGTGAAGAGCCCGCCCAGGCTCAGGGCCCGAACACAGGATCTCGGCAGTTACCAACTCGGCACCCTGTCACGGCTACCAGCTCCACAAGCCGGTCAGCCACGTAGTGATTATAATTACTACTACTATGCTTGATTACCCAGGAAAGTCTCGCTGAGTCTCAAGGCCCATTCTCAGGCGGGGTCCTCCCCCAAGTTTCCGCAGTAGGGGAGCGAGATGCTGCTGCTGCTGCTCCGTGTAATCCCAATTGAGCAACTTGCAAGATTTTACATTTTAGCATGTTGTTTTCATTAAACAAAAAAAACGAAATTCCGTTGGTTCGCACCCCGTGCGCGTCACGCAGAAAACCCGCACTGGATCTCAGTGCGCAATCTGTAAAACGATGGCATTGGCAGTTGGGTTGCAGAGTGTCTTTGGCAGAACACTTCCACACGTCCCGCAGTGGCCTCACAGACAGCGCTGGCTAAGGGGCCACTGGGCACCTAAAGCCACAACATTGTTTTCGGCCCCACATCTATTCTGCCCCACTCACCTAAACCCCATCAGCAATGTCCAAGGCTGTCTGCAGCACAGTGTACCGCTCCCTGCGTGGCCAGGGAGACAGCAAGGGCACCGATGCAGCCCAGGGCTTGAATCTGGGTCAGTGGAGGCCCCAAATGAGCTTTGGGGTCCATTGCAAGGGATCTTCCCCAGAGCAACTGGCTCCGCCACTGTGACTTCTCCTTCATGTGGATGATGTTGGTGTAGAAGAACAATAATGATCTTGCATTGAGGTGGTTGAGCTAGATGGCCGTGTCAGGAGTAGCGGAGTGGTCTAATTACTGCCGTGATGACGCCTCCCTCCTTCGTATTTGTGAATCGGGCATTGAGTCTACGTGACACGTCCCATGGTTCCGTTCTCGGTGGCCACGGTCGTGCGCCACAGTGAGCGGGAGAGTCAAATTCCGTTGGCCGGGACCCTCGATCTCGCTGGGGAAACAGTAGCGGCAAAGATGGGCTTTTCGAGCTCCCATCGAACGTCGCATGGCCAGAGCCTCGCGAAAGAAGCGCTCCGTCACCCCTCCCCGCGTCCACGCAGGCCGGGGCCGAGGCCACGCGAGCGAGCGAGCGAGCGCCCGACGCTCAGTAGATGAAGGTGACGTTGTAGGTGACCTGGCGGCCGTTGTCCCAGGCGTAGATGACTTTGTCCCCGGGGTTGTAGTCGATCTGCGTGGTGTAGCCGAACTCGTTGGTGAAGGGGATGCGGATGGCCACCTGCGTACTTGTGTGGGTGTCGTACGCGTAGAACACCGTGGCGTTGCGACGGTTGTACTCGTCGACGGCGTAGAGGACGCCGCACACCACGAAGCAGTTGCCGTAGTGGCCCCGGCGCAGGCTCGTGCGCCACGTGGTCTCGCGCTGCGTCGACAGGTCGCTCGCGTTCAGGCGGCTCAGCACGATGACGTCCTCCTGACGGGAAGAGCCGCGCGCGTCGCAATCAGCACCACCGCGTGGACCTCGCCGGCTGCGTGCACCTCTCAACGCGCCCGAAACACTGTTCTAGTTTGATATGAGCTAATTAAGCACTGCATGCATTGATCCCTCTCTAAGGCCCCTTTGAAAACTCACTTCTTCAAAACTGCTTTTTGTGCTTAGTTTGTTGCCCTTCCCCTGCACCTCCGGTTATCGCGGACGGCTACGTACAGTGCAAAACGAAGCTCAACAGACATGCATACACAGGTATCGTGCTGAAATGTGTCGGTTCAAGCGGTGGCCCTTCGTTATGACGGTCAAGTCGGCAAGGGAGGTTTCCTGCTCACGTGAGCATCGAGGCGGCGCTCGCCTCCTGGCTACAGCGGTGAGCCAGTGGGGTATGGTCCTGGCACGTGCAGTGAGAAAGTCGGACAACGCGCGCGGTGCAATCCGCACGCTTAAACGTGCACATAAACGTAGAAGACATGCGCCACTTGCATATCTGAGCCGTGTCAGCATGGGGGGGGGAGGGGGGTGGGGTCCCTCACAGTGGGTTTCCGAGATGAACCGGAACCAAACCGTGCCACACAATGCTGGTCCCGTACCACATCCGAATCTTCATTGGGGATCAAACACAGCCCGGAGGCAGAAGGCAACTGACGCATCCATCAAGTGAGTGGCCGTTGGTCGGTACGTGGCGACGACGTGGGCGTCATCGCGTCACCCGCGCGCGTCTCTGCTCATTCACTGCGCGTGGACGTTAACGGCACGGCCCGGCTCAACTTCTGCAGTGGAAAAACAACGCCGGCAAAAGCCTTGCCGGACCGGCTCGGCACGGCCTAGGCACGGCTCAGAATGCGCCGAGTGGAAAAGAGGTGTACACGTTCATTCACGTGCGCGATCGTGTAATCGTGTATACGTGATGGACGTGGGGAGCGGTAGTGTAGCCGTTAGCGCCCTGCACTACGAACCCGGCTGCCCGAGTTTGTTTCCCGCTCACGGCCAACACCGGTGACGATTATCTGAACCGGTCCTGGGCCTCCCCTATAGGTCGACGCGGCTTCAAAAGAGTACCTGGTGGCGGTGTGTAGAAACATCGCCACTCGGGAGACAAGGGCGGCCGGGTGTGGTGCTGGCCACCCAGCCCCTCGTGTACCGTGCCGACCTTCACAGGCGCTGCTCGCTAACAGCACTTTCCCCAACAGCCTTCTAAGGCTATACGGTGGGGGGGGGGGGGGGGGGGGGGTGGGATGTTTGTGTTTGTGTCTTTACACGAGGGACGTTATTTAGCACCCCGCCCGCGCGCCCGCACGCCCGCGGCAACCGCCACCGCACCCGCGTCGTCTCGTCGTCCACCGAGGGGTAGATGACCCAGAGCCCCGTCTCGTCGGCCGCGAAGTCGATGTCCGAGTGGCCGCGCCAGCGCCAGGGCGTCGTCTCCTCGTAGACGGCGTCGGGCAGCAGGGCCCACGAGGCGAGGAGGCGTGCGCGCAGGTCGTACTTGATGATGTGGCGCGAGAAGGCGCGGTTGTAGAAGAGCGAGCCGTTGTAGATCACGTGGCCCGTGCCGATCCAGTTGTAGGGCAGCTTGTAGATGTTGCTCCAGCGGCCTGGACGGGGCGGTGGGAAGGGAGCGGTGCGGCACAACAATCACAGCGAGTTCGTTTCGACTCCCGGCGGGGCCACGTGGAGTTCTAGAGGCGGCAGAGCGAGCGGCTCGCGAACCCAAGGTTTGCAAGTTCACGTCCTGGTTTTATGATTGATTCAGTCCGGCGTCATCAGCAGAATCAACCTTTTCTTGAACACATGCCGGTGAAATCCCAGATGTTCACAGGGATGGAGGGCCCTCTCTGTTAGATGCGGGTCCTTGTTCGACGCAAGCTATTTAACACGTAATCAATCATGAGCATCGTCGATTAGAGCACTACTCCCACTCAGCGTGAAACTGTGGTAGTACCAATTTGTTGCAAAGTCAACAGTGGTTATCTAATGGTTGATACTCGAACCCCCTCCCTCCCCCCAAATAGAAATGAGGAATTCCCATCAATGGCTCAGGGCTGTAAACGGGTGGCGAACCACCAATGTCACAAAGACAATGTAGAGAGGAGAGCATCGCATGCAAACGAGCGGTTTAGCTCGAAAATAAATTTATCATTTTTGTTGTTGTTCTTAGAATCTTGATACCCGTTGAAACTCGCCCAATTGGTCCAATTTCGCCGAGCCACGCGGCGTGAGCGGTGGCACGGCATGGCACGGCCGGCATGGCTAGGGCACTTAGATTCAGGGGGAGAGAGGGGGGGCCGGGGGGAGAGTCTCCTGGCCACCCACCCTCCTTGAAGCTGTCGAGGCCGCGGAACTCCACGATGCTGTTCCCGTAGTAGTAGTTGGTGACGAAGATGCGCCCGTCGCTCGCCAGCGGGTCCTTCATCCAGGCGCCCTCGCTGCGCCCGTAGCTGTTGTGCTGCACGGGCGCCGCCACGGTGGACAGCGTGCCGTAGCACGTGGAGGACGGCGCTTGAGGCGGCACCGGCGGCGCCGGGGGGAGGAGGAGGAGGAGCAGGAGACGGAGGGGGCGAGGTCATTGACGGCAACCCCGGAACACGGCACGCGTCCTCGACTTCGGCGTCGGGGTGCGCTTCGACAAAATAAGTGACGCCTTTTTATGAATTCGTTCGTTCGTCGCACGCAGTCAGCGAGGGACAAGCAGCGCCAGACGTGGTGACCCTCCTGCGACGGCGTTCGCGTTAACTGCTCTGAACTGCCATACTCCGGCGTCTCCGGTGACCTTTTTTCAGTCCACGGATCACGAGGGGGGGGGGGGGGCGACCACGGGGGGGTGGGGGGGGCATCGCCGTTCCTTTGTTGGTCGCAGTCCGCTTCGAACAGTCGATCGCCATCTGAAGTGCGTAATTAATGCCTTTCACCCGCATCATCGTCATCATATTAATAAGTTCATAATATTTCGATTTAAAGCTTTCGTGACTGCAAGGATTCATCTTCTTTGGTTCTTTCGGTAAAGTCACGTAGAATGAGGACAGTCCAGTCCCTTCACCTGATGAAGGCCACTTGTGTTGTGGCCGAAACGTCGTGAGAATTGTATTGTGTTATTTTATTGTATTATTTTATTCTCATTCTACGTGACTTTACCGAAAGAACCAAAGAAGAAGTTCATAATAATAAATCTTGTGACACGAACGACAATCGTGTGACACAAACGGCATTCACTGCGGATGTGTGGGAGTCTCCACAACCCGTAATGTGGAAGTGGTGGCTCCACAACGCGCAGCACTGAGCACTGGTGACTGCACTGTGCTGATGAGTTCTAATGAGGACGAAACCGGTCCATAGTTGTCACTGCATCACTGCTGCTATCAGCTCGCTGTGTGTACACCACCAGTGGTGACTTGTACGTTGCGTGCGCTGCACCTTCTGCGGTCGGTTCAGGCGGAGGCTCGGTGGTTGTGGTGGGCCGGGTCGTGGTTGTCGTGCTCTGCGTAGTGGTGGTGGTGGTGGTGGCCCTGGTGGTTGTGGTGGTGGTGGCAGCGGTGGTGGTTGGTCCGGCACTGTCGGCCACCGCTTCGTCTCTCCCGGCAGAGCCTCCCACGTAGTGGTGGTGGTGGTGGCTCGGTTGCCCCTCTGCTCCGGCAAGCACAGTGTCTGCAGAGCAGCGGCACACAAACTAAGCAAGGGCATCGTTGCGTGTGCGTGTGTGGATATTTTAAATGCCAATATTGCACGGTTGGCTAGGGACATACATGCATAAATATATAAACAAATAAGATGTTCCACATCCGTCATCCGCACGGCCTCCTGGTAGTGCGTTATTTCAGCATCATTCGTTCAAAACAAGCAAGCTTTGAACCGGTTTTGACATACAATGTCTCGTCAGCAGTGTCAGGCTCGCTTGAACAGATGCTGGTGAACGGCCAATGAACAAGATAGTTCAATGCTACATTATGCAGTACATTACACAACGCTCAATTATTAGCGTCGTTGTGGAGAATGTAAGTGTCAGAGTGTGGGGAAGCGCTGCTGTCTAATATTGGCTCTCAGCCTGCACGCTGAGCGGAAGTGTCAATGTTTTATTTTTACGTGGACGAACAGGAGACGTCTGCGCGTGCTGTTTGCAGGCAGCACGTACCACTGCGCGTGCTGTTTGCAGGCAGCACGCACCACTGCGCGTGCTGTCTGCAGGCAGCACGCACCTTTGCCGTGCTGCTGTCTAATATTGGCTCTCAGCCTGCACGCTGCATTCTCCTGCTGCGAAGAGTTTTCTAATCAGTCACGGGACGTGTTGGATGTGAATGATCGCTATCTATAGGCAAAGCGCCAATCGGGGGCGGAGGGGGGTCTCTGGAGAAGAGAGCTGAAGCCCTGTCCACATATGGGTGCCTCGACGCACGAGGCACCCGTTAACATTGATGACAGATCACAGCTGCCTTATGCATCCGGGAGCCCATATGTGGAGACAGGGCTTATTATCTCTACTCCTACGGCGACCCCCATTGGCGCTCGCCTGCACTGATGAGCCCAAACGAGAACGAAACCAACCCACGGTCGTCCCTTTGCTTCACTGCCACCTGATTGGCCGGTCACGTTTCCAACTCTTTTTGCACTGGCGGTCCAATCGCCGACTTGTCCAGGGATAATGACGAAGCAGCAGACAGTGAATGGAACGCGTCACGGTGGTGAGATGTTAACTGCCTCGCCTGGTATACAGAAGGTCGTGCGTTTGACCCCGACCCTGACGATGCCTGCTGTTTATTTGGAGTTTACATGTCTCTCTCCCCGTGGTCGTGTCGATTTTTCTCCGGGTCCTCCGGTTTTTTCCCCTCCGCAATTTTAATTACCCCGTCGGCAAGCTCAAAAGCTCAGCACAGCCATGAATAAACACTGTAGCCAGCAACACACAAAACGTCTATAATAGGAGGCACTTTGGGCAATGGCCCTTTTTCATACTCCATATTGAGGCCAGAGAGACAGAGTGGCCCATACGAGTGGTTACACCATGGGGCCCGATTAGAATTAAATTTTGACGTTTTTAACAGGCATACTGAATAATTACACTCTTAGTCGCAATTGAGTAACAGGCAAAACTTTCAATAAATAAAAAAATGGTACGGCTAATTAAACTCATCTATATTGAAAAATGTGTTCATGAAAAGGTTGCTGGGGGCGCATTGCATTGTGGGGAAAGTTTATTCCTGCATGCACGAGGTACGGTCCACCCCACGCTGCATCCCTGGGCCCAATCAACCAGCCCAATCAATAAGATGTTTCACTACCCTCAAATAACTCGACACCTTCGTGACTAACACTGCCTTTGAAGATTAAAATATACAATCGGTGACGTTTCGTGCAACGGTCTTTCCCGCGTGGCGCGTGAAGAATGGCCCGCTCATGGTGCGCCACCGCCATCGTTGAATCATTTGTCAGAAGTATCAGAATCAGAATGTTTTATTTATACTGCAGGAGGAGGGATCCGATTTAGCTGTGAAGCTTTTTGTTCACAGATGTCCAGTATGGGCACGGGGTCAGAATGTGATAACGACAAACAATAGAAAAACATGACAGAAGTGCAAAGTATAGAGAAGGTTAAAAAAAAAAACACACTTTAAAAAAAATTCTACAAATATAACTAGAAACAATTTTTTTTTATCTAACCAGGTAAGACCCACCGAGCTCTAAAAAACATTTTTGCAGAAACGACCTGGCGACAAATGATAGCTCAACGAAGTGGCCTATCGCGTGGAAATTAACAGCAGCAGAAATACTCTAGACGTGTGTTTCTGAATGAAAATAATAAGAGGGGATGAGGTTTGTCTATTACTTAGCCGTGTGATAATCGTGCCAAAGAATAAATGTGGCACTCGGCCCAGCCACTTGGCAACATTGCCGCTGTGAATCTTCTCGTTGGGTAAAGACCGTGGACTTAAGCCACGGTTCAAGAAAACCGCCGTGAGCTCGGCTCCGGGTCACTTCGATGAAATGGCACGGAGCTGAGACTCGCAACCACCAAGTGTGCGCAAGGCATTCCTCTTCCGCTGCCGCCCATCGCTGCGTCGCGCCTATTCGTCAAAAGGGGCGTTTGTCCAGAGTCCACCCGCACGCCGGGCCTCTGGTGACGATGTCGCAACAAGCCGGCCAGAAAACCCACAAACTTTAACGGAGGCATGCAAAAGCAGCCGCGCTCCGTCAACGCGCGTCACGAGCGGTGACTCGGCTCGCGTGAGCGTTGAGGCGGCATTCGTGGAGAGCACTCCAAGGCCTGTCTACCGTGACCGGCCAACCTGCACACGCTTCCTAACCGCCAGCACGCACTTTGTTCGGCCTAAAGAAAACAACACCGAGCTATTGGCCTCCGTGCTTAACATTCATCAGGTGTGGCATTTGCGCGAGCTTGGCAACCTTGGGCAGGTGTCAACCGCAGTCTCGCCGCGAAGACTGCGGAACGAAGGGAGCTCGACTGACCAGTCGAAATGATTTCCTGCTCAAGCAAGCACCGAGGGTCACGGTGCTCCTCTCCCATTTACAGCCCTGAGCCGGTGGTGGAAGTTCAATATTCCTATGGCGGGGATGAGTCTATCCATGCGACAAATCAACTGTTGACATCCCCAAAAGTGTAACTCGTGATGAGCCGAGTCGACCGCCAATCAGGATTTGAACTCGCAACCGTTCCGGTTGTGAGCCGCTCGCTCCACCGCCGAAGGCGGCCTGGCCGGTTGAGTTGATGAAACATTTTAATGCGGCCTTTGTGGCTCACGAGTGCTGTAGGAGGAGGATGGTCGTGAGAATGAGAGAGCTGGCAACAAGGGCAGTGAGCGTCGGAGAGGAGGGATTTGTGAATGAGGGGACTGCCTTGGGGGTTGAGGGTGTATGGAGGGTGTGTGTGTGTTTGTGTGTACGTTGAACTTCTTTCGCACCGTACGTAGCCAGCAGTGGCTAATCGGCGGTGCGGGGGAAGGACAACAAAGGATGGAGCGTCGACTAGGAGGGAAAAACTTCTCAATTAAGCGAGAAGGAAAATGCATTGTCTAAAACAACAAATTATATATTATAAAAACACGTCAACACATTTGTCAATGACACAGTAGCCTTAAACAAAAGGTACATAATAGGTGAATATTCCAGCAAAGGCCATTCTTCATAGCAGTGCCTCTCTGGCCTCTGTGCCATGAACGAGGGCCGCGGCGGGAAACGTAACGCCTTATACACTTTTCTCTTTAAGGCCACGGTGTTATTATTGACGGATGTCTCGAGTTGCTGTTGCTTGTACTTGTGCACCACTGCCGACGCAGCAGCAGCGGCAGCGGCGGCTACATCAGCAAATGATTTGTTCCACAAAATACAAAGCAAGTGTGTACCACGTGTTTCGTCTGGTTTACGAGCGGGGTGAGTGTTTTTGGAAGGGCGTTCAAATTTTTACCCTAAACTAAATTGAAAACTAAACTTTTCATTTGACCAGGTAAGGCACACTGAGCTGTTTCGCCCTTTTTTAGAATCGACCTGGCCACAAATGATAGCTTAGCGACGTGGCTTATCGCGTGGAAATGTTTTAGCAGCTAAACACTCTAAACGCATGATTCTAAATGTGGAGGGAAAAACCGGAGGGCCAGGAGAAAAATCCACGCGAGAACGGGGAGAGACACATGCAAACTCTAAATCTTCAGGGGTCAGGGCCGGGATCGAAACCACGCCCTCCTGTATACCAGGCGAGGTAGTTAACAGCTCAGCACCGTGGCGCCCTCCAAGTTAAATTTTACCACAAAAATAAAATAACGTTTCTCATCCAGCTACACAGATACAAGGACACAAGTGCTGTCAGTGTGCATCTATTCAGGCAGGCATGGCGTACATGCAGGCGGTGTGGCAAGTACCACGAATATCTGAACCGGTCCTGGGACTCCCCTAGGTCGACTCAGCCTTAACTGAGTGAACTGGATCAGTGTGTAATCACCAGCACTGGGGAGACAACGGTGGCCGGGTGCTGGCCAAAAGCACCTTCCTAGGGTGCCGTGTTGGCCTTCACCAGTGCTCGCTAACAGTGCTTGCCTCCGGCGCTCTGTTATAGTCTACGCCGGGGGTTATTTGTCTAATCACAGATAAACGCGCGCACACACACACACAGAGTCTGTCCAACCCCGTTCTCTGTAAGTGTATCTCATGGCAAGCTGTTAGAGTTTGCCTTGCCATTCGCAGAGTAACGGGCTCCTCACCCGACGAGAAGGTGCTAAATGGAAACCAGGAATTTGTTGCCAATTCGAAATGAATAAACAAAGAACATCACCAAGTGAGTGTCTGCTCAAGTGAGCATTGGGGGCATTGGTGCTCGCTACCATGCTTTACACACCGGAACCCGTGGTGGACATTCCACCTTCCCGTGGCCAGGGTCACGTCTATTCGTAGGACAACCGCTGTTTACTTCTCCGCAGAGTAGTACCCGGTTTATCGACCCCAGAAGGGACGATGGGCTGAGTGCACCCGAAACTAAGATTCGAACTTGCAACCTTCCGCTCACTTCTACCGCTGAGCCATCTGGCTGGATGCATGCGCGTGTGTGTGTGTGTGTATATATACAGGTCGACTCAGCCTCAAGTGAGTACCTGGTGCGGAGTGCGAACATCGCCACTGGGGAGACAAAGGCGGCCGGGCGTGGTGCTGGCCACCCACCCCCTCGTGTGCCGTGCCGGCCTTCATAGGTGCTGCTCGCTAACAGCACTTGCTCCAACAGTCTGTCAAGGCGTCACGGGCGTGGGGGCTCTTTGTCTGGTTTGTGAGTGTGTTCGAGTAGGAGTGTTCGTTCACACTGCACCACGAACCCCCGCGACCTGAGTTCAATTCCCGCTTAGGGTTAACATCAGTGAGAATTATCGTCACGGGTTGCCGTGAGCGGGAAGTGAACTCGGAACGCCGTGTTTATAGCGCAGCGCGCAAACCGCTACACTGCCGCTCCCCACTAAACTACCGCTCCCCACAGACACACTCCTCCCCCCGCACCTCCGATTACTGCATTTGACTACGTGCGATGCAAAAAAAGTTCAACATAAACATATGCAATCACGTATAACGACAACTACTGCCGTTCGCCACTAAGTAAGTAGGCGGTGATGTCGCCACGGTGCTTGTGCCAGGCTAGGTGCACTTTGAGGCCACGTGAAGTGTCGAAGACTCGATGGCAGGTCACAGAACAGACCCAGGCACCATGGGTTGACTGGATGGCTGGCAAACGCACCATCTGTGCGCCCCAATGTACCAACTTTTTCCACTGTTGCCAGAGGGCGACTGCCTCTAACTCCCCAGAAGCATCCTACACACACTCACGTACGCACACACACACACACACGTACACACGCCCATGTACACACACACACGCCCATGTACACACACACACGTACACACGCCCATGTACACACACACACGTACACACGCCGTGGCCGGCCGGGGACTCACTGCGGTGGCGTGCGTCGCTGTGCCGCTCGTCCCCTCGCTCCGTGCGGTAGTACTTCACCTCCCGCAGCACGGCCGCTCTCCCGGCTGGCACGGAGGCAGCACGGGGTCGGGGTGGTGCCGCCCGGGTCTGCACCCCCGTCTTCCCCGTCGCCTCCTTGCCCCGCGTCTCCTTCCCCCGCATCTCCTTCTCCCGCGCCACCTTCGCCGCGGCCTCCTGCTTCTTGGAGGCGGCCGCCGCCGCCGCCGCCTTGCCGTGCGCCGGCTTGGAGGCTTCGGCCGCCTTAGCCGGGCCCGCCGCGTCCTGCGGGGAGGCCGGCGGCGTGCCCCAGGGAGGGAGGGAGGGAGTAACCGCGTTCATGTTTCTTGTTAACAAACAAAAAAAAAGAGGCCATGAAAGCAACAGCAACAAATGACGAACGAAGCAAAGTGCCGAATAACTGAGCATTTTTGTTTTCGTTTCTTTCGATCGGAAAACGAAACAAAGCAAAACAAGGGAGGCAGGGATGGAGGCGAGCCGCGCCGCAGCGATCGGTCAAGGGGGTGACGCAGCGGCGCCCTGGTTGGTCCACAACGCGCGCCGTGGACCCAGAACCCCGGGTTCAATTCCCGGCCACGGCCAACGTCAGCGGCGAGTGGCATCTGCACTGAACCCGGCCCTGCACCGACCCTCCGTGCAGTTTTGCCAATCAACCACGGTGACCGTCATGGTCTGAATCACGATCCGACGGTGGAAGTACCGGGATTCTCTCTTCCGCGACGACCACGGACCACGCTGAGCCGCGCTCGAACACGGCACGGCAGATGCGCGTGCACGTTCCCTGAATGGAAGATCTAAGAATCGCCCAACTGCGACTGTGGAGGAGTCTAAGCCATCGAGCACATCACCGATGAACGCTCCATCCACGCACATCCTGGCGGTATCGCTGACATCCACGCTGCGTCAACCCCACATCATTGGACTGGACGAGGAACATTTTCATTCATTCATGACGATCATTAAGAAAAAATAAAAACTGTTGTTTTCACAATGGCATACGAAAGAAGAAGACCATCATTGTGCGGCGGCCTTCGCACCCAGCAGCGGATTTCGCCGCACTGCGACACGGAATCGAGCCGGCGACCTGGGCAGGTCGTGGGGGTGCCCGGGAGCCAGGTGCCTAACCCCCCCTACCACACCCCCCACTGCCGGCCCGTGCCTGCGCTCGGACGTCCTGGGTGCTGGCCGAGTCCTTCTGCAGCAGGGCCAGGCCGATGGACGAGATCTCCTTCTTGATGCCCAGGATGATGTCCGTGTAGTTCTCGTACTTGTGCATCTGCCCGTTGAGGCGCCCGATGCTCTCCTTGATCACCTCGTTCTCCCTCGTCAGGTTCACGTTCACGGCCTGCGGTCGCAGTTGGGGAGGGAGCGGGGGCGGGGAGGGGGGGAGAGAGGCCACGGGGAGCTGTGAATTCATGGAGAAGCCATCCCAGGAGGGTTTTACCTCCCCCCCCGCCCCCGGTGTTCCATTGACAGCCCTGAGTCAGTGGTAAACTCCAACTCCGCCTTTCCTTGAGACACAGCAGGCAGTCCTTCCATTCGTTTTATTGCCTCGGAATACTCCAGTGCGGTGCGGGGGGGGGGGGGGTAACACATGAGAGGGTGGTTGATTAAGCGGCGGGGTGGTTGACTGTGTGGTTAATTGAGTGAGTGGGTCGTTGAGTGAATCGGTGGTTGATATAGTGGGTGAGTGGTTGGGTGGGTGGTGGATTGATTGAGTGGTTGATTAAATGAGTGAGTGAGTGGATGGTTGATAAAGTGAATGGGTGGTTGAGTGAGTGGGTGGGTGGTTGAGTGAGTCAGTGGGTAGTTGGTTGATTATTGAGTGGTTGATTGAATGATTGAGTGGATGGTTGATTAAGTGAATGGGTGGTTGAGTGAGTGGGTGAGTGGGTGGGTGGTTGATTGATTGAGTGGTTGATTGAATGAGTGAGTGAGTGGATGCTTGATTAAGTGAATGGGTGGTTGAGTGAGTGGGTGGGTGGTTGAGTGGGTGAGTGAGTGACTGAGTTGAGTGAAAAGTCCCCTGCTGAGAAGCATCTGCGACTAGCCTGCTCAGCCATCAACGGAAGCCGCCCCAACACAGCGAGCCAACGGAGACGGAGCAGCCGTCACCGAATATGAAGATTGACCCCCTCTGGGTCAATAAAAAATAATGGACGGTCACGATTTAGATGGAACAAAAGCAAAAAAAGTGCTCAGAGAGTCATGGAGAAGCTTTACCCTGTGAGACAACAAGAGGAACCCATGGATCAGACAACACAATACAAATCGAAGACATTACAGCGAACCGCTGAATAAAGTGAGTGGCTGGGCCTGGGAAGGAGACTGCACTGGACAGTAGCCGAGGTTCAAGACTCGGAATAGAGTGGCAGCCAAGTAATGGAACGCGTCCGAGAGTACGTCCAATGGGGGAGATGGAGCGGATTCAATCGGTTCAGGGGCTGGGTGGATTGTTACATCGCAGCGATCTTGAGAGATGGCGGTGCGGCTTGAGACCTTGATCTAGCAGTGGATTGATCACGGCCGATGACTGTGCATGGCTAAAGTATTGTGGGCCTCCATCAGTGATGTCCAAGAAAATCTCATTTGAACTGCAGATGCTCGTACGCGTGCCTCACAATATGGTCATACACGTGGGGATTGTAAATTCCTTCCACTACAGCAGACAGCCAATCCATCAAGTGCAGGTGCTGGGTGGATCATAACATTACATGGGCATCACGATGGCTATGAGATGTTAAATACCTCACCTGGTATACAGAAGTCGTGGGTTCGATCCCGATCCTGACACCTGTACATTTGGAGTTTGCGTGTCTCTCTCACCGTGGTCGTGTGGATTTTCTCCGGGTCCTCCGGTTTCCCCCTCCGCATTTAGAATCAACGTCACGTGTTTAGACTATTTAGCTGCTATATATTTCCACACTGATAAGCCACTTCGTTGAGCTATCATTTGTGATGGCCAGGTCGCTTCTGAAAAAGAGCTACCTCAGTGAGCCTTCCCTGCTACAATTAAAAATATAAATATTTTTACGACTTCAATAGTTTTGATTTAAAGCTTTCGTGACTGCAGTGATTCATATTCTTGGTTCTTTCGGTAAAGTCACGTTGACGGAAGAACCAAGAATATGACTTTAATAGTCTTACTTTCGCGTGCATGTGACACGCGTGCCAACAATGTGCACGTGTGTGCACGCGTGAGTGACGCGAGACACCAACCAGGATCGGACACAGTGGTCGCCAGAGACACAGATCCACATTGCGCTCGTAAAAAAAAAAAATTTAAGGGTCTGGAATGAATGTGTATTTTATTGCCTCGAAATCCCCCGGGAATGTGGGGAAGGGGTGGGGTGCGGTCGAATGGGGTGGGAGGCTAATTTGTTGAACTTCTTTCGCGCCGTACGTAGCCAACCGTGCTAATCGAAGGTGTATTTTGCATTTTGACTGCTTGTGTTGTGGTTATTGCAAACATGATGTCTTGAATAAAGGTGTCAGTTCTTGTGCCAGTTAAAAGGGTAAAACCTATTCCTAAATCGAAGGTGTAGACGGACAACAAACTAAATATTAAAATAAGTTCTAAAGAAATACGTTTTCAATCTAGATGATGATTTAAAAGTGCACAGCTCCAGTGGCTTCCTGATATCGGAAGCAAGAGCGTTCCAGACGGCCGCAGACGCGCATCTGAAATCGCGCGATGCGGTGACCGCCGCCTTCGTTCTGTAGGTAGCAAAAAGCCGCCGCTGCGAACGTGACCGCGTGGCGATGGTTCACGCTCCTTGACGAGATCTGCGAGATATTGCGTTTCATTTGTGGCAAAGCACTTTGTGCGTCACGAAGCGTACCCTTATCACGTGTTCGTTCAGCGACCGGAACACAATGCAGCTCGGCGTGCGCTGGACGGACACGGTCGGGGATCTTCCAGCGCCCGTCACGACACGCGCCAGAGAATTTATACACCTTCGCGACCTCTCGTAGAATCCCTCCACCGCCAATTGCGATCGGATCACCCACCGTTCTGTTGCGTCGGCGGGCACGCCGGGAGCCCCGCGGACCAGCGAAAGCCTTCCCTTTGCTCTCGTGAAAAAAAAAACTGCTTTAAAAAATAATCATCAAGTCGTGTTTATCTTATCCCTACACCCTAATATGGTTCTAAATGTCCCAAGCAGCTTTGTTTACGAGGACGCGAAAAAAAGCCGAGCGCTCGGCACACGTGAGGCGGTAGCGGCGGTGGCGGCGCCATGAACCCGCCGACCTCAGTTCCATTCCCTGCGAGGGCTACGCGTGACTGGCGGGTGACGTGAATTCATCCTGGTGGTGGGGCAGGCCTCTTCACCAACAAGCATGGTGAAGTATGGTGAAACAACCCCCGCACGATCGGCACGGCACCGAGAGGCCGTCGTCAAGGATTGGATTTCCAAAGAGCTGTGTCATTACTTTCATTCTCATTCTGGATTCCAACTGAGCGACGTCCAAATTCGCCGAGTTGACGGCATTAGCTGCGTCGATGGTGACGTGAAAACGTGCGACGCGGGTGGGCCACCGCGGCAAGGCTACCGTCTCCCACCGCCGGTGAAGGAGCGCAGACTGCGGTGGTTTTACCGCGCGGTCCGCGGTCTGGTGGCATGCCCACAAGGAGGAACAGTAAAAACGGCACGAACTCTCTCCACCTCTCTCTCCTGAAGCCCCCTCGTCGCGGCCAGCTAGCAGGACCTCGTCATTGGCATCGAGCTTGTGAACATCTTGCTGCTGCCCTCGTGCACAAGAATAAACATGTTTACTCTGAGCATGCATATTGGACAAGAGCACAGGATGACAATCTCACACACACACACACTTACACAAGACACGCACGGGCACACGCACGACAGATACACTCGTGTGTTTTTTTACGGGTGCACAAACCGCGCACGGTACGCAATCAAAGAACTTATTTTTTTGTTAGCAGTGCAGACGACGCTGGGCGAGCGCCGTTCATGACCACCGATGGAGGTAAGCGTGGCGCATTAGGGGGAGGTATGATCAGAATTGACACACTGCTCGCTCACACGTCGAGGCTACGCGGCCACGAGGGTGTCGTGCGGACACGAGGGGGTGCCCGGGCACGTGCGCGCACACACGCACGCAGACGCGCTGGGGTGTCAGACCGCACGGTGCGTGCGGTCTGGCACACCACCACGTGGGGGGGGGGGTGGGGGATCTGTCTCACCTCCTCCAGCTTGGTCATCTGCTGCGTGAGGCGAGTCACGAACGAGTGGATCTTGAGCAGGTCAACGCTGTACAGAGCCCCCTCCAGGATCTCCGACAGGGAGGAGAGCTGCGGATTGAACGTTTCCCACGGGTTTGTTAAGTGCACGTCGCCTCTTGGAAATGTATGGCTCTTTAAAAACTTCACTTGTTTGATGCCATGCACCATTTTTCTCTCCCCTTCGCAGCTCAGCAGGCTCAGGGAGACCATATCCAGCAACACCAAGCGACGAATATGTTACACCAGGATGTGCGAGATATGAGCGCAAGGCTCATACTGTGAGATGAGGACTAAGTCTCTACTAAGAGATGAGGAGTAAGACTCCTACTGAGAGATGAGGGGTAAGGCTCCTACTGTGAGATGAGGGGTAAGGCTCCTACTGTGAGATGAGGACTAAGTCTCTACTGAAAGATGAGGAGTAAGACTCCTACTGAGAGATGAGGAGCAAGGCTCCTACTGTGAGATGAGGACTAAGTCTCCTACTGTGAGATGAGGGGTAAGGCTCCTACTGTGAGATGAGTAAGGCTCCTACTGTGAGATGAGGGGTAAGGCTCCTACTGTGAGATGAGGGGTAAGGCTCCTACTGTGAGATGAGTAAGGCTCCTACTGTGAGATAAGGAGTAAGGCTCCTACTGTGAGATGAGTAAGGCTCCTACTGAGAGATGAGGAGTAAGGCTCCTACTGTGAGATGAGGGGTAAGGCTCCTACTGTGAGATGAGGGGTAAGGCTCCTACTGTGAGATGAGGAGTAAGGCTCCTACTGAGAGATGAGGAGTAAGTCTCCTACTGAGAGATGAGGACTAAGTCTCCTACTGTGAGATGAGTAAGGCTCCTACTGAGAGATGAGGACTAAGTCTCTACTGAGAGATGAGTGGTAAGGCTCCTACTGTGAGATGAGTAAGGCTCCTACTGTGAGATGAGGGGTAAGGCTCCTACTGTGAGATGAGTGGTAAGGCTCCTACTGTGAGATGAGTGGTAAGGCTCCTACTGTGAGATGAGGTGCAAGGCTCCTACTGTGAGATGAGGGGTAAGGCTCCTACTGTGAGATGAGGGGTAAGGCTCCTACTGTGAGATGAGGGGTAAGGCTCCTACTGTGAGATGAGTAAGGCTCCTACTGTGAGATGAGTAAGGCTCCTACTGTGAGATGAGGAGTAAGGCTCCTACTGTGAGATGAGGAGCATGGCTCCTACTGTGAGATGAGTAAGGCTCCTACTGAGAGATGAGGAGTAAGGCTCCTACTGAGAGATGAGGACTAAGTCTCCTACTGTGAGATGAGGGGTAAGGCTCCTACTGTGAGATGAGTGGTAAGGCTCCTACTGTGAGATGAGGGGTAAGGCTCCTACTGTGAGATGAGGAGTAAGGCTCCTACTGTGAGATGAGGGGTAAGGCTCCTACTGTGAGATGAGTAAGGCTCCTACTGTGAGATGAGGGGTAAGGCTCCTACTGTGAGATGAGGAGTAAGGCTCCTACTGTGAGATGAGTAAGGCTCCTACTGTGAGATGAGGGGTAAGGCTCCTACTGTGAGTAGAGGAGCAAGGCTCCTACTGTGAGATGAGTAAGGCTCCTACTGAGAGATGAGGACTAAGTCTCTACTGAGAGATGAGTGGTAAGGCTCCTACTGTGAGATGAGTAAGGCTCCTACTGTGAGATGAGAAGTAAGGCTCCTACTGTGAGATGAGTGGTAAGGCTCCTACTGTGAGATGAGGGGTAAGGCTCCTACTGTGAGATGAGGGGTAAGGCTCCTACTGTGAGATGAGGAGTAAGGCTCCTACTGTGAGATGAGGGGTAAGGCTCCTACTGTGAGATGAGGGGTAAGGCTCCTACTGTGAGATGAGTGGTAAGGCTCCTACTGTGAGATGAGGGGTAAGGCTCCTACTGTGAGATGAGGGGTAAGGCTCCTACTGTGAGATGAGGGGTAAGGCTCCTACTGTGAGATGAGGGGTAAGGCTCCTACTGTGAGATGACGGGTAAGGCTCCTACTGAGAGATGAGGAGTAAGACTCCTACTGTGAGATGAGTAAGGCTCCTATGAGAGATGAGGGGTAAGACTCCTACTGTGAGATGAGGGGTAAGGCTCCTACTGTGAGATGAGGGGTAAGGGTCCTACTGTGAGATGAGGGGTAAGACTCCTACTGTGAGATGAGGAGTAAGTCTCCTACTGAGAGATGAAAAGTAAGGCTCTGCCGAGCAACGGCACGTTGCACACCGTCGTATGGAGCTGAGACTTTGGCCAATCGCGCTGGCAAACGCAACAGGGTCAGGAGCCGCTCAGCGCAGAGGGCCGAGACGCATCCTGAGCATTCCTCGCCATGGCGCGAGAGCTCAACGGAGAGGCAGCGCCGTCGGCAAACCGAGCGAACCTTTTTACTAGCGTCCGTCATCGGAGAACGCCGCCTCCTAGGATTGCCCGCGACTAATTGACCGCTCGCCGGCGGAGGGTGAGGCGAGCGTTCTGCTGGACACGAGAGGGTGAGAAACGCGCAAGAGGGGGACGACGACTGATCGCTGCAGCCGGAAGATACAGAGGGACAGAACGCCTGTTGGGGTTACTTGGGAAGAGCTTCACGCTGATGGCTCTGAACACCGTAGCCTCACACAGAGGTCCATAGACTCACACAGAGGTCCATAGACTCACGCAGACTCGTAGACTCACACAGAGATCCATAGACTCACACAGAGGTCCATAGAATCACACAGAGGTCCATAGTCTCACACAGAGGTCCATAGACTCACGCAGACTCGTAGACTCACACAGAGATCCATAGACTCACACAGAGGTCCATAGACTCACACAGAGGTCCATAGACTCACATAGAGGTTCATAGACTCACGCAGACTCGTAGACTCACACAGAGGTCCATAGACCCACACAGACTCGTAGACTCACACAGAGCTCCGTAGACTCACACAGAGGTCCATAGACTCACGCAGACTCGTAGACTCACACAGAGATCCGTAGACTCGCACAGAGGTCCATAGACTCACGCAGACTCGTAGACTCACACAGAGGTCCATAGACTCACACAGAGATCCGTAGACTCACACAGAGATCCGTAGACTCACACAGACTCGTAGACTCACACAGAGATCCGTAGACTCACACAGAGGTCCATAGACTCACGCAGACTCGTAGACTCACACAGAGATCCGTAGACCCACGCAGAGATCCATAGACTTACATAGAGATCCGAAGACTTACATAGACTCGTAGACTCACACAGAGATCCGTAGACTCACACAGAGATCCGTAGACCCACGCAGAGATCCGTAGACTTACATAGAGAACCACGGGCTCACAGAGACCCACAGATTTACAGAGACTAAGAGATTCACACAGAGACCCATAAACTCAGATATGCATACACTCACACAGAGATCTATGCATTGACACAGATGTGTATAGACTGACACAGAGACCCACAGACTCACATATCGGTCTCTGTGAGAGTCTGTGGGTCTGTGTGCATGTCTACGTGTCCCACCGATGGCACAGGATCGTGACGACTGGAGGTGCTGGTTTTCCCGATGCGTGAGTGGCAGTGCGGATGCAGGATCTATGTATGTGTTCCCGATTTTTGGTGAATAAAAAATATATCAAGCCTTAGATGTACAACATTTTCAGAAGACCTGAAAAGTAACCATCTCTTTGGGTTATTCGGAAAAGGGCAGCGTGACATCGGTAACATGACGTCACTTTGCCACACGAAAGAAGACTCTCACCGTTTTCACGCCACGCACGGCGTACACTTTACACAACGCCCGTGACGGGATTTTTAACGCCGTTTTTATTTCGGTTTGAGCACTATCCATCGCTTATCCCGCATTGCGGAAAGTCGTGGCACGGGTTTCATGTAATCCTGCTGCCAGTTTGGTCATCGCCCACCCTGCAATGTGCCGTGACAAGCCGCCACTGATCCGTAGATCTCACGACAAACCACAGCCGACGGCGAGCCATTCCTTCAGCCCCCCCATGACTCCCACCCGCACATCTTTACAAGACTTAAGACGTCGCTGATCAAACATCCGAGTCACCTGATCATTCACAACCGGAGACGCCACGGTGGCGAGATGCAAACTACCTCGCCCGGTATACAGGAGATCGTGGGTTCGATCTCTGGCCATTGACGGCTGTATATTTGGAGTTTGCGTGTCTCTCTCTTTCTCTCTCCCCGTGGTCGCGTGGATTCCTCTACCGCACGTTTAGAGTATTTGGACGCTTCACATTTCCACACGATCAGCCGATTCGTCGCGCGGTCATTTCTCGTCGCAAGCTCAGTTGGGCCCTTACCTGGTCAAATAATTTATAAAAAAAAAGCCGCGGAATGTTTCGTGCAGCGAATCGGCGGGGGGGTGGGTGGGGGGGTGGGGGGGGGTGGGTGGGGGTGGGGGGTGGGTGGAGGGGGTGACCTCTCGTCCGGAGCCGCGCTTCCCGCCGTTACCTTGGCGAGGTCGGGCGAGCGCGCCTTCAGGCGGTCGAGCCTCCACTCGGCCTCGCAGGGGTTGAGCGAGGCGGGCGGCGCCGAGCAGGCGCAGCGGCAGTCGCTGCCTCCCGCCGTCACCGTCTCCACGGCGTACGAGTCGACGGGGCGGCCACCGCTGCCTGCGGCGGAGGCGGCGCGCAGGCGTTCGCAGGCGCCGTGTCCCAGCGGGCGCACCACGCACTTGCAGCGGCAGTTGCCGCCCTCGGCCTGCGCGCGCACGAGGTTCGGCTGCTCCGACATCAGCTGCACGCGGGGGGTGGAGGGGGCGCACGGTGGCGGGGGGGGGGGCGCAGCGGTCGTTAGCATCTGAGGTCAACGCGGCGCCCAATGTCGAAAACTCCCAATGCACGGCTAGGCGTCGCGGTTTGGGATCGAACCCATGAAACCTCCTGCGTACCGGGCGAGGTTGTTAACATCTCCTAACCACCGTGGCGCCAATTGAAGGCAACGCCTCAGTCCCCAGCGAGCAGGCAACACGTTCGTTCGTGTCCTTTCACAGTTTCGCCAAGTCCCCCTGCATAGCCACGGCCTTAGCTATGCGATACAGTGGTGTTTTGACAACCTCCGAAAATAAAAACACGACCGTGCTACCTGCTGTAAATATTACGTCACCGATACAGGTGCAGGCCTGCGCCTGGCAGTTCACCTGGGAACGCTTCCAAAGTGCTGCGAGGGGAATGGTATTTCGGCCTCCGCCTCGATTGTCAATGCACGCCCAAGAGTGCCTCTCTCTGTTCCACTCGCTTGGATGGGGCGCAAACACGTACGTGCCAATGTTTATGTGGCTGTGTTAAACAACACAGTACTGCACTGAAATGAACATTTGTTCATTCTTGTTATTATCATGGAGTACACGTGTGTTTTTTTGTTTCACTTTAATTCTTATCTGCGATGCCCTTGGGTGTTTTTTTTTCATGCCTAGAGGCCCCTTGCCCAAAACAACATCTGGCCTCGGAGCTGTGGCCAACTTCACCTGAATGAAAACAAAATAAGGCATTGCTAATTTCTCTCACTGCAATGGCAATGCTCTTCAGAATGATGACAAATCCATTGCTAGGGATTGTCAAGTACTGTACAGGGTTGTCACCTCCCTGCCCTGGTTTTCTCCGAATTGTCTTCATGTCCAGGTAACTGACGTGCTGGAAAATCTGCAAATCCGCAGGTCATGGCTGCAGCGGTGGTGGTGCCGGTGGCTGCGGTTGTGGTTAAGATGATGGTGGTGTTGGAAGTGAGTAGCGGTTATAATGGTGGTAGTAGCAGTAGCGGTATTGGCGGTGGGACGATGATGAGGTAATGATGGTGGAATTGGTGACGGGATGATGATGATGGTAATGGTGGTGATATTGGTGGTGGATAATTGTGAAGACGGTAATGATGGTGGTATTGGAGGTGGAATATGGTAATGATGGTGGTATTGGTGGTGGATGATGATGGTGGTGATTATGGTGGTATTGGTGGATGATGGTGGTGGTGGCATTGGTGGTAGTGCTGGACAGTAGGTAGCGTTTCATCTCGTGGTGGGGAGAGGGATGAGTTGAACCCTGATTGGGTGAAGCCCTGGGTGAGTGTTTGAGTCCGTGGGGGTTGTGTTTAAGCAGTGTGGCCATGTGCCCTGATTGTGTGTATTTTGTCACGAGTGTGTGTGCTCAATTCCGCACTTCAAAAAACCGTTTCAAAGGCTGCGTCTGCATGCGAAATCCTCAACGCGAGAGTTTCTTTCTTGTTTCATGTTCCACAATGCGTACAGAAGATAGCACCGCGTGTACTCCTCGCGTGTACACACAGCTCGTTTCGTCAGAGAACGTGCAACTTTCGGCATGTGTTCCTGATTTTCAGATTAATCAGAAAAAAATCGAAAATCAGGCCTAAACACGAAAGTTTGGACGATCTGCTAAAGAAAAAAAAAACCCGCTAATTTTGTTTTTATTTTTCCGACAACTGACAGTGAAATCGCTAACATGAGAAAAATAACCTCAACACATTCATCATTAGCACCGTGGCTATAATCGCCAACGTTTCGGGCAATGGCCCTTCTTTTTTTGATTATGCAGAATGGCCAATGTCTGAAACGTTGCCTATTTTACATTGTTTGATTTCAAGGCCAAAGACAATGAGATCCCCCGTATAGCCTGAACAGACTCTGGGCATGCACTGTTAGCGAGTAACACCAAGCCGGAACGGCACGCGATGATTACACACCGCACCAGGCACTCATTTGAGGCTGAGTCAACCTAGGGGAGGCCCAGGACCGGATCATCCGTGTCCTTTCACAGTTTCACCCAGTCCCCCTGCATAGCGCGGCCTAAGCTATACGACACCGTCGTTTTTTTTGACAACCTAAAAAAAACCGACCGTGCTACCTGTTGTAAATATTACGTCACCGATACAGGTGCAGGCCTGTCAGTTCACCCGGGAACGTCTCCAAAGTGCTGCGAGGGGTATGGTATTTCGGCCTCCGCATGGATTGTCAATGCACACCCACGAGTGCCTCTCTCTTTGTTCCACTCACCGAGATGGGGCGCAAACACGTACGTGCCAATATGTATGTGGAAGTGTTAAATAACACAATACTGCACTGAAAAGTACATGTGTTCGTTATTATTGTTATTATAGAATACATGGGTTTTGTTGTTGTTTCACTTCATGCCTCGAGGCTCCCTTGACCAAAGAGCATCTGGCCTGGGAGCTGTCCAAATTCACCTGCAGCGGGAATAGAACTCAGGTCGCCGGGTCCGTAGCGCAGCGCTAACCACTGCACCACCGCTCCCCACACACGCGGTGTTCTTGACGTGTGTGTTGAGTCGTTTAGTCACTTTGCGCTTCGTGCACAGCCATCGGTCAGGAGCAACAGTCGCCCAAAAATAGTCACCCAAAACGAGGTCACTTCCGCGCAGTCCCCGCGAACAGTGGCGTTGCCTGACGTCACTATAGTTAGCACGAAGACGCAGAGTGGAAATTATTTGAAAGTCTGAAGAAGGAAAACAACATAGTGCATATCCGAAATTGCCCCCTTCAAAATCCTAAATCTGAAACGTCACCGTCCAAAAACTCATCGCTATGCATTCGTATAACTTCTGGAGAGCCCTTGTCTGATTGACTCGAAACTGATGCAGTCGTAAAATCTCTCAGCAGCGAAGACCTCAAATACAAACCGCGTCAAGTGCATCCAAAAAAGAACAAGGTACTGCTGCTAGCTGCTGCTGACATTTCATGCAGAGCGGGCAACTACAGGGAGAGAGACATCGCTCTCACCAAGGCCATTCTCAGCAACAATCGAGATCATGTTTCCCAAACAAAAAAAGGCATAAACACAAATACAAAATTACGGAGGCAAAATGTCGTAATGCGAAACAAACTCGCGCCCCCGGTGCGTGCTGCGCGCGTGCACAAGCGGCGCATTGTAAGCGTCCGTTGTGCTGCCATTCCGGTGCGCGGAGGAGTCGTGGGCCCTGTGGTCCGCACGAAGGACGCCGCAATCCCGGCAACGGCAAAAGAGAGTGCTCAAACCCCCACCGCCGCTAACGTCACCGTGGGCAATTCGTCCGTAACTGGACCCGGGCCTCCCTTAGGTCGACCGGTTGCAGCGGTGTGACCGGAAGCATCGCCGGGGAGACCAACAGTGCTTGGGTCACCTGTGGCGCAGACCCACGCCGACGCTCGCCTCTGCGAGTAACGCGACGGGCAGCCCGAGAGGTGCTCGCCAACAGCACTCGCTCCTAAATGGCCCACGGGGTTAAATGTGGGGGCTGTACGTTTGTTTCCTGGTCACTGAAGAGGCGCATCAGCCGCTGCCCCTCCCCCGTCCCTTCCTGTGTGTGCCCTTGGATGACCGTAATTCACTCGTGGAACGCCTCGACAAACGCACCACATTTCCACCGGGCCCCCGCAGTGCACGGATAATGAACGTGCCTTGTGCGTGGATCAATTCCGCTTTAGTAGATAACGAGGGCACGGACAAGAGGACATTTGCTCATCTGCAAATTCCATCCCTCTGACTGCAAAATTATTTACGGAAGAACTCCTATCCGCGACCCTATAACCCACGGCTCCTATTGTCTGCGAGAGCAGCAGTAGATTCCGCAAAAAAAAAAACGTCAATTACCCGCGGCCATATTCCTTCCTATCATCCGCTGCTATTCGCGACTTTTTCCATATTTCCGCAGGGTAAGAGGAATTCAGTGTCAAATCACTCCAATAATATAATCCGCGATTATCTGCGATTGTTTTTCCTGCGGATAAGTCGAGTCGAATCGCGGATAACCCCGTGGATTCTAGGATTGGCGATACTGGTACCCCGTATAAAGACGGATAAGAGGAGTTATGTGCGTACTCGCTTGACGTGACGGTGGCCACGTTACGAGTTGTGACGTTTGTGGACCAATTCCAAATCTTCGTCTTCTGTTGATCGACCAAGAAATAAGGGAAATAAATGTTTTAATCCAGTGATTCTTCATTTATTAATTGGTAAGTGGTGTGGTTGGCTCTCCAACACTGCCGAAGGAGTCATAAATTGTCACCTTTATTGGCGTGACAACTGTATTAATTGGCTGTGTCTCATGGACGATAGTTTACGATGCAATTTACTCAAGCGACCTGACCCCAAAAATAAATTATCAAGCATTATATCAATCTTGATTTGAAGCTTTCGTGACTGCAGGAATCCATACTCTTTGGTTCTTTCGGTAAAAAGTCACGTGGATAGAAAATGTTATTTCTCCTGCAGGAGAACTGCTCAGCGGTTCTCCTGCTGTGTTTGTCTCACCTGATGACGGTTGCTTGTGTTGCGATCGAAACGTCGTGCTCTATTCACATTTCTATCTACGTGTTTTTAATTGGGAAATGCCGTCATTCACTCTATTGTACTCGGCATGGGAAACAGAAGTTTCATCCCCGCGTCTGTATAAAGGCATCATCTAAATGGGATGAATTGCATCGTCAAATTTCTTTTTTTTACTCAGACATTTGAACCACTTATCACTCCACTGACTTCGCTCGAGTACGCATAGATTAAAATAATTGCACAATACAGTAAATTTGCAATTAGAGTAAGCATTATATCTCTCGCAACAGGTTAGACGTATAAAATACTGAAACGAAACGTGATCGCCACCACGTTAGCAAAGTATATATTTTGTGAGCTATTCGATTAACCTCATGTTTACCTGACAAAAAAAAAACCTTTAACCCAGTGACTATAAAATCTCGCAATTATTATCCTGCGGACTTAGCAACAAGGGCCACGTGTTTGTTTCCAGAGGCAGTGTTCATTTACAGATTATCGGACAGATAGGAGGCTGGCTCTTCGAATCCGGCACCCTCCTATCGGACTAACATTCCATCAGTGTAGCTCAGGGCTTGGCCCATTACTATTTGCGGAATAACATTCCAGTGGTTTACGCTTAATGTCTTCGTTACAAACTACACCCAATAAAAGGTTACGTTTTATAAGGGCCAATAATTGCACTTTTTTACATTTTCAGATAAGAGTGTGATTAGGACTGTAATGAAATCCAGTACGAACCGTATCCCGCACGTAATATCCTCTACTTACGAACATTCGACTTACGAACTGTCGGAACTAGAGTCTTAAGTTCAACCGCCGCGCAATAGATGGCGGCGGTAGCATCAATATCTACAAAACATGAAGAAGCAGTGGCATCTACATCTACAGAACGTGAAGAACCAGTGGCATCTACATCTGCAGAACATGAAGATCCAGTGGCATCTACATCTGCAGATCATGAAGATCCAGTGGCATCTACATCTGCAGATCATGAAGAACCAGTGGCATCTACATCTGCAGAACGTGAAAAACCAATGGCATCTACATCTGCAGAACATGAAGAACCAGTGGTATCTACATCTGCAGAACATGAAGAACCAGTGGAATCTATATCTGCAGATCATGAAGAACCAGTGGCATCTAGAACTACAGGAGATAATACAACTTTTAAAGCCATTCCTGTGTTTGGTGTACATGCCGTACATGTTTGGAATCGACAGGAGTAAAGTTGGACTTACGAACAAATCGACTTACGAACAGACCTTCGGAACCTAACTCGTTCATAAGTAGATGAGTCCCTGTATTTGTCTCTCCGAGTTACAAACAAAAAATGGAAGCAATTTTTTGTTACACAACCGATCGGCTGCATAGCCTTCTGGGTGCACAACTCATCAGCAGCACTGGTTCAACGCAAACAAACCTCTGGACCGATGTTGACATTTAGTGTCTCTCGCCATGAGAGTAAGCTTTGCTTGAACCAATGCCTTGGTGGGTGAACTGCCAGATGGTCATAAATGAAGGAGCCCTTTTCTGTTTAGAAATGCGTCCCGGTTTGATGCAGAAATATAAGATGGATGACACGAAAGAGTACAAATTCGGCGTCACTTTGAAGAGCGTTAAGAATGAAGTCAATGAAGTAGCGTCTCCTAAAGTTGTTTGTAAATGCAGCCAAAACCAAATGCTCACGGGGCATGAGCTGAAATCAATCTCGGGTAGCCGGGTTCGTAGCGCAGTGTACTTAGAGTGAGATAACCGATTATACTGCCACTCCCCACATGCCACACACACACAAACAGGCACAAAGACAAAGACCCCCCCTACAGCCTCTCACAGACTGTTGGGCAAGTGCTACTAGCAAGTAGTGAACAGCACCTATGAAGTCTGGCACGGCACATGAGCGGGCGGGTGGCCAATACCACGCCCACAGGCACACAAAGACAAAGAGCCCCCGTGTAGCCTTAACAGACTGTTGGGGCAAGTGCTGTCAGCGAGCACCTATGAAGCCCAGAACGGTACACGAGGGTGGGTGGCCAGCACCACATCTCCCGAGTGGCGATGTTTACACACCACATTAGGTACTCATTTCAGGCTTAGTCGACCTAGGGGAGGCACGAGACCGGTTCAGATAATCGTCGCTGGTGTTGGCCGTGAGCAAGAATCGCAGGGCAGCGTAGCGCTCACCGCTACACACACACAATGACAAAATATCCCCCTGTATAGCCTTAACAGACTGTTGGGGCAAGTGCTGTTAGCGAGCACATACACGCAGACAAACACACACAGGCACACACAAGCAGACAGGCAGACAGACACAAGTAGACACACAGGCAGACACACACAGGCACACACAGGCAGACACACAGACAGGCAGGCACACACAGGCAGACACACACAGGCAGACACACACACAGGCAGACAGACAGACATACAAGTAGACACACACAGGCAAACACACACATACAGACACACAGGCAGGCACACATAGGCAGGCACAACACAGATTATCTGGATTAGAAGTGAAAGTTACGATAGATTAATCACTCCGCTGGCAGGAGCTCATGCCCCTTGTCAAGAGCTTCCCTTGAGGGGCTTTTGGAAAGTCGCCCTCACTTGTTAGCGCTGTTAAACGTGTTTTCGTACCACGAGGATTAACCCTTGCTAACCCCTGCACCCTGAGGAGCCCATAACCTTTGCACCATCCGCCACGGCTGCAACAACCTCCCTCCCTCTCTCCCTCTCTGACCTCTCAGGATGTGCCCACTTAACGCCTGCGAAACGCGAGATCTCATTCTCTCAAAACGTCAACGCTTATCGTGGTGAAAATACAACCAGAAGCGAACGTTTGATTTTGAGGAGCCCTCTTTTCTACCCTTCGTTCGAACCAAATCACCCCGGTTAACGGTGCCCCCACCCCCCATTGGCACCCTCGGAAGCCGACACAGCAAGAACCGTGGCGATCATCAGTGCGTCCGCTACGCCTGTCTGCCCAGGACAGCCTCGCCGGGTCTCCGATGCTCTTCTTGTTCAGGAGGGTTCCTGTTCAGCTTTCCCGCAGTAGCGACCGGGCGATGCTACTGCTGCTGTGCTGCTGCTGCTGTGCTGCTGCTGCTGTGCTGCTGCTGCTGTGCTGCTGCTGCTGTGCTGCTGCGCTGTGCTGCTGCTGCTGCGTAATCCAAATGTGGTGGCGGTGTAGCGGTTACCGCTACGCTGCGCCTACGAACCCGGCCAAACCGAGTTCGATTCCAGCTCACGGCCAGCACCGGTGACGATGATCTGAACCGGTCCTGGGCCTCCCCTAGATCGACTCAGCCTCAAATAAGTACTTGGTGCGGTGTGTAGACGTCGCCACTGGGGAGACAAAGGCGGCCAGGCGTGGTGCTAGACACCCACCCCATCGTGTGCCGTTCCTGCCTTCATAGGTGCTCGCTAACAGCACTTGCCCCAACAGTCAGTTAAGGCTATACGGGGTACATCTTTGTCTTTGATCCCAATCGAGTCATGTTGCAGCATTGAGATTGTTTGGTCCGATACCGGTTACAATGTGTGTGTTTGTGACTTGGGTATGGGAGAACCCGTAGGAGACCCCACGTAGAACAGGGGAAGAACGCTTTCCCACAGCCGAGCAGAAAGGCGCCCGAGTCGGCAATCGAACCCAGGCGTGTGTTGCTGCGAGGCCCGCCGCGAGTGTCTCCAGCACCGCGACACGAGGGCCGCCCGTCGCGCCAGCATGGCACGCGGGATGAGCGTCCGCCCCGCGGGGCCCATAGGCCCCGTGGGCCGCTGCGGGCCTACGTTGCCAGCGCACAGCGAGTACAGCAAAAAAGCCGCTGTTGTATTGGACTACGCTTAAACGTCTACGCTGTCCGCGTTCAACAACCCACACTGGCCAACGTAGTGAATGTATAAATCACCCACGAATCGCATTTTATGGGAGAGGCCCTCATCCAGAAGTAGACTGATAACAGGGATATACATGTACACGTTGTTGTTGTTGTTGTTGTTGTTTTATATGGCGTAAAAAAAAATGTAATGTTTGACCAGATCGGGATTTAATTTGATTAGGGTTTTTTTTGTCTTCCAAATGAGCCGCTCCATTATCCTTCATTCAATCGCTGCCAAATGTCTCCTACAATTGTTCTTAGGTTCGGCACGAAGCCCCTGCAAATTACGGGCGTTTGTTTTCACAATCCCAAGTTGTTTTGTTCGTGTTTTTAATTGGGAAATGCCGTCATTCACTCTATTGTACTCGGCATGGGAAACAGAAGTTTCATCCCCGCGTCTGTATAAAGGCATCATCTAAATGGGATTATTTGCATCGTCAATTTTTTTTTAAACCCAGACATTTGAACCACTTTTCACTCCACTGACTTCGCTCGAGTACGCATACATTAAAATAATTGCACAATACAGTAAATTTGCAATTATTTTTTTTACTTTCAAATTTGGAGCATGAAGCAGGCAAACGTTGTCCTAGCAATAGTTGAGTGATAAGGAGGCGAGTGCCCGTCGCAGACTTATTGGTTGCAAGGGAATTGGGTAACGTACAATCGTCGGAATGTAATAACATTTACAGGACTGTAATTCAGTCGAGCAAAGATCACTCACATGGTCGATTAGCACGGTTGGCTACGGCACCTCCGATTAGCGCGGTTGGCTACGTGCGCATGGTGCGAAAGAAGTTCAACGTACGTTTGGAATCGACGCATTGCTGCATAACCCGGCCAGGTGGCTAGAGGGCAGAGCGAACGGCTCTCAATCGGACGGTGACAAGTTCACATCCAGGTTGGGGAGGGGGTGGGGGCGTTAATTCAGCCAATCATCCCTCGGAGGGTCGATACAATGAGCATCACTTTTTGGTGGAGGTCAACAGTGGTTGTCCTACGAATGGACTCACCCCCACTACGGGAATGTGGAATTTTCCCATCCTGCCTCAGGGATGTAAACGGGAGATGAGCACCGCCTCAATACTCGTGCGAGCAGGAAACTACGTACTCGCAAGCTGTGCAGTATTTCCACAGACGCGCGCAAACTCTGACAAACGCAGTCTCGGAATGACCGTCGCGAGCACTTGCGGACTTTGGGGTCGTTTGGTCGACCTCAGTGACCTTTGAGGAATTAAAAAAAAAAACTTCTACGGCAATGCGTGCGGTAAAGCGACTTCTAAACTTTAACCCAAAGCCCTCCTGCACCTGTCCAGCATCAGCACGTTACTTCTATTTGCAAAGTTAACATCCCTAGCTCCCAAGGTCCCCAGGGTAACCAGGACCCCACACCCCCCCCCCCCCCCCCCCCCTGGCTCCCCAGGTCACCGAGTCCCCAGGGTAACCAGGTCCCTGAATTCCCGTGCCGAGCGGTAACCCGGGGTGGACGTTTTACTCGCGGCGTGGAGTCGGCGTCCAGCTCCTCCGTCGAGGTCCGGGCCGTCCCATCCGCCGCGGGCTGGGCGCGGCCTGGCACTGCCGACATCGCCAGCAGCATCAGCGGCAGCAGCAGCGGCATCAGCAGCAGCGGCGGGGCCCGACGAGCAGCGAGCGGCGCGCTGGGGGGTGGTCGCATCTTATTCCGAGAAGGTCCCGACCAGCAGGGCTCCCGTGCACACCGGCTCTGTGCGCCGCGCGCGACGGAGCCTCGCGTGCACCGTCGCTGAGTGTGCGTCGCGTGCACAGCTCTCTGGGCAAGCGTGCGAATGCCGGCGATGATCATCCGCGGTCTTGCATATCGACGCTCGTTCGGATCGCGTCTCGCAATCGCCGAGGAGCCACAGACGGGCTTGGAAGGCGGCGGGCAGGTGGTGATCCGGCGAACCAACACTTTGCCCAAGCTTTGCGGTCCTCTATGTGTTGAGATGTTTTCAGCCGATTAAAGAGCGTTTATACGCGTGTGCGACTGCTACGTGTTTCAGCGTGACCATGCGTAACGATGCCGAATGATGTGTGTCTGTGTGTTCGCCCTACGCTTGTCAAGGTATGTAAAGCAACGTCGTACGTCCGTTATGTGTACGTGTATAACACTATACGCTTGACACAATATTGTGTATGCGTGCAATACTACGTGTAATGAAACTCTGTGTGTGATGCACGCATCTCAAACTGTGTGCATGCGCGTTCAACGCATCTGTGACAATGCACGTGTAGCTGCATGTACGTGACCTGCTGTCAATTGTGTGTGCCTGTCAATATTTCCTTTGTACGTGTGAAAACGTAAACATTTGTATATTTAATATCAGCTAGGTATGGGAGTGTGTGTCATGTATGTATTGCCTTTATTGTACACTGTTGTGTGTTACCTATGCACAGCCCATGTATGTGCAATGAGACCTGTGTGCCTTCGATTGCATAGGCAGTGTACCTATCCGGTATATATATCAGCAACCTACTGCAATGTTACGCGACATATGTTACGGGTGCAGTAGAGACTGTTATGATACATGCGCATATTCTTCATGTGTGCTTGTAATCATTTGCCATGTCTAAGTGCACGTGTGTGTGTATGTACCCGAGGCGCAATGGCTTGGCGGCCTGTATGTTAATTGCCTGTGTGGCCCAATCGAGAGTTCGTGTGAGCGATTGCGTATGGTGGAGTCTATTCCCAATGTTCGTGTGCGCCGTTGTGTACGTCTCAGTATACTTTCGCAGTGCTGGTGTATGCGCCTTTGTGTGTAGGCAAGGGGTCTGCAATGTCCTGTATATGTGGACGTGTGATGAGTCTGCCAGTGTGTGTGTACACGTAGCCTGTAGTAGTGTGTGTGTGTGTATGATGCTGTGTGTGTAGCCTGTTGTAGTGCGTGCCACTATTTGTCTCGTCTATTTCGGTGTACGTGTGTATATAGCATGTTGTAGTGTGTGTGTGTAGTTTATCTCAGTGTGTGCCGGTGTAACTTTTGTAGTGTGCTGTGTGTGTCACACCAAGTCGAGTCTATCTCAGCGTGGTGCAGAACGGGGAGAGAAAGACAACACCGTCCACAGACGCAGAGCCTCTGATCCCGTCTGCTGCGTTCCCCTCCCTCCCTCTCTCCCCCCCAGCGTTCAGCTCCACTGCCCACTGGCACTGCCCCTACACTCCACGCAGCCTTGGCAAACAAGAGGAGCAGAAACTCACGCTCCTCCCCCTCTCCTGTTTATTATTCGGCTTCTCTCCCCACCTCCCCTGACTCCTCGCTCACGCACTCCTCTGCCGTGCCTCTCCCTCCCACCTCCCAACCAATTCTCTGTTCATAAGAACCTCACCCCCACACTCAGCAGCCCTCCCTGCCTCCCTCCTCTCCCCCCATTTGTATCGCGTGGATTTACGGTCCTCCTCCTCCCTCCTCCTCTCTCCTCCTCCTCCCTCCTCCCCACTGAGATTCCCCGGGGGGGGGGGGGGTGCACGGCGCCCCGCGGTGACACCGGCCCCCCACCGGGAGGGAGCTTAGCTCCCCCGTGACCACGACCGTCCCGAGGAAGACTCAGCACCTCATCCCGCACACAGCCACGGCTCTGCGCGCCGTGAGTCTTCCTCGGGACGGCAATCGGTCAGGTGCCCCCCCCCCACCCCCCACTCCCGCCACCAATGTTTGATTTTGTCTCGCACGGTCGCACCTAGGGGACGATCTATAGCATCGTGGACCACCTCTTTACCTCCATAATGCAGGTTTTTGTGGGGTTGAATCGCGTAAATATATAATTACTTAAGGTTTGTCACGTGAACAGAACATACCAATTCGTTACGAGTGCAGCACACCGGTGTGTTGGATGAAGCTAGTTGTCATAACTGGCGAAACGTCGTACTCAGATTGTAAATGTTGTGGCTTTGCTCTCTAACACACCATACGTAGCCAAATTTCAAAAATTCAGAGTGCGTGTCTCCAGTGGCTTCCTAATATCGGAAGGAAGAGCGCGTTCCAGACGGCCGCAGAAGCGCATCTGAAAGCGCCGCGCGATGCGGTGACCGCCGCCTTTGTTCGATGGCAGCAGCCAAAAGCCGCCGCCGCTGTTGCTGCTGCTGCTGCGAGGATGACGGTCGGAGTGGTTTATCCTCCTTGACGAGATCGCCAAGGAGTCGTTGGTTCATTTTGTAGCGAGGTCGCTTCCCCCACGACCTCCCCGCCCTCTGAACGCTACGCGCGCGCGCGCGCTCCCTCGTGCCATTACCGCATTAAACCGATCGCCGGGCGACATGTTCGGAGCGGGAGCGAAATCACGTTGGACGATTTAAATCCGCAGAGGTCGCGAACCTCATCGAGTCAGCGGCGGCTCAGCGGGCGCGGCGATGCCACGCTGACAAACGTCCAGCCGCCACCGCCGTCATGGACGAGGCACTCCGCTTATTGCCCCGTATCGCTGATTAGATTTGGCCACTCCACGTGTCCGCCCGTAATCCAGCACTGTGGAGGCACCAGCGTGAATCGGTGGCTCACAGGGCGAATGACGACATGTCGCGAGACTCCCCCCTTCCCCCGTCGGCATTCGGATGCAATGCCCGCAACTCGCCAGCAGAACGCGGGGCAGGAAAGCGTGGACTGACATCGTGTGTCCCTTCTGTGTGGGATAGAGCGTTGCTCCCTCGCGTGCGTGAGTTTTCTCCGGGTTGCTCTGGTTTCCTCCCACGTGTATAAACGCTCACTAATTGGAAGGAACAATCTTAACATTATTATTATTATAGAGAACTGCAGAGCAAATGGGACCGGCCGTGGTGCTTGCCACGCCACCCAAAGCGGCAATTGCATTAACGGCGCACGTCCTGTGTGCAACGCAGTGTCCATATCGCCCAGAAATCCGCGAAGGGAGCTGCAGGAAGTGAGACCAGACGGTGATTTACAATTACTCAGCCAGCGGCGCTGCGGTCAGAAGGGCACGCGTGATGAACGCGCGCGCCCACGCGGGATGAACGTCGTGGGCGTTTGCGATGTTCCGACAGTGGCATTCCATTCAATTAGGCCGCTCGCTCCACCCCGAGCTCAGCGAGAGAGCGTGGGGGTCCCTGTCGTTCGGGGGCACTTCGGGTCTCCCGGCCCCGACGTCGCGGGAAATAATTTCCTCTCCCGCAACTCAACGCGTAGTCCACGCGGCGCTGTACAAACACGCGGCCCTCTGCGAACGTTGTGGCCTAAGCATTACGAGTGAAACTCATTTCCCGAATCTAGATTGGGAAGAAAAAAAAAACTAATTTCTTTGTAACTGCTTTGTGTGTTTAGATTGATGTCCCCCCCCCCCCGCACCTACGATGAAGCACGGTTGGCTATCATTTGTGGCCCAGGTCGCTTCTAAAAAAAGAGCTGTGTAGCTCAGCGGCACTGAAACGTGGTAAAACTAACAAAAATAGTTTAGTTTTTAGTCTATAGCTTATAACCGTCACATTCAGACTGTAGCCACAGCGATGATGGCGGTGGTGGTGGTCATGGTTGGGATGTGGTGATATTGGTAGTGAAGGTGGTTCTGACAACGGTGGTGGTGAATGTAGTGATGATCATGGTGAGGGTGCTGGTTGCGGATGGTGCGATGTATACATGAGTACCTGGTGCGATGTGTAAACATCGCCACGAGGGAGACAAATGCGGCCGGACATGGTGCTGGCGACCAACCCCCTCATATGCCGTGCTAACAGCACTTGCCCAAAAACGTCAGTGAAGGCTATACGGAGTGTCTTTGTCCTGGTGGTGATGATGATGGTGTGGTGATTGATGTTATGGTGATTTAGTGGTGGCTGATTGTGACGATGGCAGTAGTGGTGAGTGTTATCGTGGTGGTGGCTGTGAATGTGATGAGGTGCTGGTGGTGATGATGATGGTGTGGTGATTGATGTTATGGTGATTTAGTGGTGGTTGATTGTGACGATGGCAGTAGTGGTAAGTGTGATCGTGGCTGTGGTGGCTGTGAATGTGATGAGGTGCTGGTGGTGATGGTGGCAGTGGTGTTGCGGTTGCGGTAATTGAGGTCATGCCAGTTGGTAATGGTCACTGTTTGTGGTGGTGGTGGTGGTGATTATGAAGGCGGTAGTGGTGATTGTCGACTCAGCCTCAAATGAGTACCTGGTGCGGTGTGTAAACATCGCCACGAGGGAGACAAAGGCGGCCGGGCGCGGTGTTTGCCATCCACTCCCTCGTGTGCCGTGCCGGCCTTCATCGGTGCGACTCGCTAACAGCACTTGCCCGTATAATATGTTAAGGCTATACGGGGGATCTTAGTCTTTGTGGCCGTGTGCCCGTCATCGTGGTGGTAATCACAATAGTAATGTTTAACTTTAAGGGCGCCACCTCACGTTGTGCACTCACTCCCAACGGTGACGACTTCGAGGCGTGAGAAGCAGTCACAGACGAGCGCAAACACAGCGGCAGCCAGGTAGGGAGGAGCCGGAGCCAACAATTGCCCAAGCTCTGCGGTCCTTCCATATATATATTAACAAGGAGTTTTCAACCAATTAATGAGTGTCAATACATGTGGGGGGGGGGAGGGGGGGAACCGGAGCACACTGAGAAAAACCCACGTGTGCAAAGGGGCAACACTCGATCCCCGTACAGATGTATATTCGTACCACGTTCGCTGTAGGGTCTACTCACGGCGAGCCAAGGGTGGCTGGCTTCTCTTTGACTCTCACATTTGCGCGAACCACCAACCCTCGCTGCCTCCATAGCGGCGGATTTCAGGCCACGTGAGTAGCCACCACCACATTCGGCTACCGCTCATCGTGGTGATGGTGGTGGTGGCGATAGGCTCCTGAGCAGCGCTGGTCATGCCATTGTTCTTCCGTGTAAACGCTGCCATCGATTAAATGGCCTTTGAATCAAACGCCAGAGAAAAGCCCGTCAACTCTGCGCCAAATGTGATGTAATTCTTTGCCAGCAACAGCCCTCATGGATAATTTGTAGACGTTTTCTTTGAACACAAAATCCTCAGGCGTTTGGGCTCGAATTAATAAATAAAAATCCCGTACTGTACGAAGTATATCTATACACGTATGTCGAACTTCTTTCGCACCGCACGCAGACACTCATTGGAGGTGCGATAATGCTAAGCGCGTGACGTGACACCCACGTGCCCATCTAACCCAAAAGAAGCGACGGCAACAATTAATAATAATTCCTGCGGTAAGACATCTCCCAATACGTGGGTCGGTTTTTTTGTTTCGTCAAGATTGCCAACAAAACACTTTCCAAAGAGCGTTTGAGTTTAAATTAGATAACAAATATATATTAATAACGTTGCACGGCGGTGGGATTAACACTCAAGCATTATATAATGTGGTCGCGTGCGAGCGTGTACTCTGTGCAATCGATTCACCGCATGATGTGAAAAAAAAAATTCTGTGGTGACGCTGCTGCTGAGTTGGCACTGGTGCACAAGCACAATTAACAACAACTCATGGCATTCGTCAATAACAATACCGTGGCCTTAAAAGAACATTATGTATACGAAATGATGCGATATATCGCTAAAAAAACATTCTAAATGGAGCCGTAGTGAATTGGTTTGCACGCTGAACTGAATTTGTTACCTGGTCAGAATTTAAATCGCAAACCTGCGTTAAACACTGGCTAAAGAAGCGAATTTAACGCGACAGAATGAACACAAAACCGCGTGCGTGTGTGTGAAGAAATCGGGGATTGTGAACAGCTCCGGAAAATGACAGTTACATCGTGGACTTCATTATGAACCTGAGCCCATTTCAACGGAGCACGAGGAGCAGCAGGGACAGTAAAACGACACGAACTCTCTCTCTCCCTGTTGAAGCCACCTTCGTGGTGGCCAGCAGCAGGACCTCTCCATCACTGCCATTCTAGCTGCTGAGGGTATCCCCTGCCGCTGCCATCGTGTGGAAGAGCAGCACTTGGGGGGGGGGGGACGCGGGCGTCGATGGCCGGGGTAGCAGAGCGAGAGAAACCCGGCGGATGTTCGCGCTCCAATTCGGCGTCTTCTTTCACCCTCTCAGTGTCTCCCGCAGGTTGTGGGCGATGCGTCCGTCGGTTCGTGTCGCGTGAAACGAGCCGCTCGCTCTTCGCCCCGCACGACCACAACCCAGATGACCCTAGTAGCACAAGTAGTTACATAATGCTACGGGCCCCGCACTTTCAAGGGCCCCGCGCTAAATGCTTTCAAGCTATA